TTCGGGGCTCTTGGCTGCCTGGGCTGAAGGGCTGTTCTGTGGTCTGAGATTAGGGCTTCCACAGGTCGAAGGTGGAACTTACATTGCTTCCGTGTTTTGCAGGCTTCCTGGGTTATAAGGCTTGCAGAGTTTACTGAAGGGTTGTAAGGCTTCGGGAGAGGGGCGGGGCGGGAGAATTCTGACTTTTCAAAGTTTAAGGTTTTGAGGTCTCTGAGTCTGCTGGCATCCTTTGACGGCTGTGTTTCAGAATGAGGGCCTTACCAGATTGGGCCACCAGTCGATGTAAGGTATACATTCACTCTGAACCGCCCACCAGAACCCAAACCAAAATGGTTCTCGGGGTAAAGGTGTTTAGGGTTCGGGGCTACAGAAGGATGGGAGCACCCAGCCTGGTTTGGAGCTCGTGGACGCTATGTTTCAGGTTGCTCTTCTCGCTTTCCAGCAGATGGATGGTGTCCTGAAAGTCGTGAGCTCTTGCAGAGTCAAAGGAGGGTTGGGGGGGGGGGGGGGGGGGGGGGGGGGGGGGGGGGGGGGGGGTTGAATAGACTAGGGCTGCTTGATGGGCACCCTAAACCCTGAACCCTAAACCCTGAACCCTGAACCCTAAACCCTAAACCCTAAACCCTACATCGCCCGTTGCCTTGAAGCATTTCAGGCTGCAAATGTTTCTAGGAGCCCGAGGAATCCGAACCAAGGACCCAAAGTCCAGAGCCGCAGATACCGCGTGAAGGCTTTGAAGATGGATCCTAAACCCTAAACCCTAAACCCTAAACCCTAAACCCTAAACCCTAAACCTCATAATCCCTCAGAAGCCCCTTCAGCTCACCAGGCCCGTGAGGTCCAATCGATGAACATTCTTTACTGTTTCACATTTCATTTTTCTTGGGGGGCGGGGGGGGCGGCCTTAAGCAAAAAGTAGTGGTTAGGGAACCCTAAACCCTAAACCCTAAACCCGAAACCCGAAACCCTAAACCCCATGTGCCAAAGCTCCCAAAGCTCCCAAAGCTCCCAAAGCTCCCAAATGTCCTTGAACCCCTCTTCAGCGCCTGGGCAACGTGCAATTCGAGGCCGTGGGCATGCTTTGAGGTTAGGGTTTAGCCCGGGGTTTAGGGTTTAGGGTTTAGGGTTTAGGGTTTAGGGTTTAGGGTTTAGGGTTTTGGGGTTTTGGGTTTAGGGTTTGGGGTAAAAAGGCAAACAGCGGCGGTTTCGAGCTCACAGGGCTAGGGCTCAGGGCTTGTTAGATCGAAACTTGCCGCTCGTTTGTGCGTGAGGATGTGGCAACCCCCAAGGCCATGATTTACGACTCAAGGCTGCAGGGCCCGGATTTAAAGAAGAGCTGCCGCGAATGTCGTTAGAGAGAGGAAACCAAAAACAATTCAAATCTGCTTTGAAAACGCTCAAGGCCCTGAATTTCAGAGTCCCCTTTCAGCTCTCGAAACGAGCGTTGCAATATCGACACTTCTCAAGACTCGCACCTGACATCTCCTTGGCGCGCGGCTGCACAGCCGCGCCACCTCCTCCTGAAGGACCCGGTTCTCGGAGCTTTCCTGGCGCGGCCCCAGAGTCCGGATCCGAACCCCAAACTCCAAACCCGGAAACCCACAACTCCACCAAGGTCACATTGTGACTTTTGTTTTGGTGGGGGAAGGAGGGCTGGAGTGTTCCGGACTATGCGACAACAGCTGTTGTGTGCAAAAACCCAATTTTCGATGAGATCAATGATCTTTGAGCACCACCAACCCACGAACCCCGCCAACCCCACGAGGCCGCACGAGACCCTGCGAGACCCAGCGAACCCTACGAGACCCCGCCAACACCGCGACACCCCACCAACCCTGCCTCCAGCCGTCTTGCCGCCCCCCACCTATCTCCAACCAACTCTACTTCCCGACGAAAGAACAGAGATGTAGTATGTGCCGGTGGTCAAAGCCAAAAAGACTTCGAACCGAACTGTGTTGATGAGGTGTGTTGATGCGTGTTGATGTGTCACCTAACTTTTGGCCAACTTAAGGCGACCAAGAAGTTGGTCACCTTAAGTTGGGGAAGTTGGGAGGGGTGGGTAGGGTACCGAGGCCCGAAACCCCTGCGAGGGTTCGGGCCGTGGTTCGCCAGGCGCGCAACCCAACCCGCAGACCCCCGCGAAGTCTCCACAAACCCTGAATCCCCAATCCAAAAACCCAAACATCCCCAAACCCTAAACCCTAAACCCTAAACCTAAACCCTGAACCCTGAACCCTAAAATCCCTAAAATCCCGAAAATCCCTAAACCCTAATCTCTAAACCATATACAACACGATCTGAGGCGCCTTCTCTAGCTTTTGGCCCAGCTCCTGGCGTTCCACCTCGGCCTGTCCCCAGCTTCAAACAGGTTTTGGTCAGGAGGCGTTCTTTCTGGTGATCCTCTTCAACCCAATAAGGACAGGGAAAGATACAAAATGCCCCAAGGGCCTACCTAGTAGGCAGGGTGCACAGGCGTTTTCCGGAAGTTGGGTAAGGCTTCAATAGCGATCTTAGGCTTCGAATCTTGGCTTCATTCAGCGCTGGGACACGACAGGCCCCGCCCCTCAAAGTTCCATAGATGTGGAGAGGAGGCTCCCCTTTAGTACAGCAAGCCCTCATCCCCGGAACCCTCAACCCACCTCCCAGCACCCCACCTGCTGCTTCTCTTGCTGCAGCTTCTGGTGTTCCTGATTCCGTGAACTCTCGCCATCCCAACACCCTGAACCTCAAAATCCCCCCCACCTAATACTTAGTTGCTGAGCACAACCGGCTGACAAAACATCCACCTTCACAGGGTTTCGGTTCCGGGTTCGGAGGCTGAGAGGCCTCTGCAAGGCCCGGTGACTGCCTTTGTGCCCGTCATGTTCGGGGTGTCTTAGAGGCCATGAACCTGGGTTAGAGGCCATAGGGTTTAGGGTTTAGGGTTTAGGGGGTTTAGGGTTTAGGGTTTAGGGTTTAGGGTTTAGGTTTAGGGTTTAGGGTTTAGGGTTTAGGGTTTAGGGTTTAGGGTTTAGGGTTTAGGGTTTAGGGTTTAGGGTTTAGGGTTTAGGGTTTAGGGTTTAGGGTTTAGGGTTTAGGGTTTAGGGTTTAGGGTTTAGGGTTTAGGGTTTAGGGTTTAGGGTTTAGGGTTTAGGGTTTAGGGGTGCCTGTGAGCCCAGGGTTCCAGTCAGCGCTGTCAGGCAAAGTGGGGAGAGAAACGCGCCAAAGAGCTTTCGCAAGAAGGGTCGGGGTCCTGCTGCATGTTCCAGAAGTCCACACGGAGGCATCCCAGCTGGTCCTCAGGGGTTAGATATGTGAGGGGGGGGGGGGGGGGGTGAGGCTAAGGCTAAGTCAGAGGAAGGCAGCACTGCGGTAAAAAGGCGGTTGCCTGGTTTGTTCAGGTTTCGTTGTCACAGGATTTCGCACTATTACAGCAGGGAGCGTGGTTTTGAACAGGACGTTACGCCAAACAAAACACGGCCATCTTTCAAACAGCTCCACACCGCGACAACCCGAAGAGCCTCTTGTAACCGCGAACTCCAAACACACCCTACACCCAACACCCTCCGACACCTCCAAAACCCAAAAGAACTGCCGCACGTTCTTTCTTGGCTCATGCCAGGGCTAAACTTTGAAGGCATCAGCCTGGCCTGTAGAAAAACTTTACGTAAACATCATGTGAAGGTAATACGAAATAACTGATACAGTGACATAAGAGAGAAGTCCTCCATCAGACGCATCATTTGCTCGTACTTGGCGAGCACGCTGTTGTCCGGTGCAGTCATTTTGCCTCCACCACAGCATTAGCAGCCGCTCTTAAAACATGTGGCCCAGCCATGGCGTGGGTCTAATTGTGCTGATTTCCTCGCCTCCTTTGGCCATCTGGTTCTCGAGGTACAGCTTTGCCTGCAGAAGCCAGCTGCGCTAAACCCTAAACCCTAAACCCTAAACCCTAAACCCTAAACCCTAAACCCTAAACCCTAAACCCTAAACCCTAAACCCTAAACCCTAAACCCTAAACCCTAAACCCTAGAACGCCTGGGGGTTTGGCTTGCAGCTCTTTGATACGAACTTGGAGGTTCATGGTTTTAGGGTTTAGGGTTTAGGGTTTAGGGTTTAGGGTTTAGGGTTTAGGGTTTAGGGTTTAGGGTTTAGGGTTTAGGGTTTAGGGTTTAGGGGTACTTGTAGCCCAGCTCTGACTGTACTTATAACCACTTGTGAGCCCTTTAAGTGCCCCCAATATGGTTAAGTACAGTCATAATTGGGTTATTGTGTATCATGAACCTCCAGGTAGGAGCGTTTTCCTCTGAGGATTCAAGGGTTCGGAGGGAGTCTATGGCCGAAATTTCGATGCAACAAAGGGGATGAACCCCCAAAGCCTCTAAACCCCCATGCAAACCCCCAAACCCCAAAATCCAGCATGCTCTATAAACCCAATAAACCACATAGACCCAACGAACCTAACCCCCAAAAACCTCAATGATTAGGGTTTAGGGTTTCGGGTTTCGGGTTAGGGGGTTTAGGGGCTAGGGTCTAGGGTCTAGGGTCTGGGGTCTGGGGTCTGGGGTCTAGGGTCTAGGGTCTAGGGTTTAGGGTTTAGGGTTTAGGGTTTAGGGTTTAGGGTTTAGGGTTTAGGGTTTATATAGGGTTTAGGGTTTAGGGCTTAGGGTTTAGGGCTTAGGGTTTAGGGTTTAGGGTTGAGGGTTGAGGGTGTGGCCCACATCCTTTTTTGGTGGGTGCCTCCTGCAGCTCCTTGATCCTCAGAGTCTTCTCCTGCAGCTTCTCACGGAGGTCCTCCATCTCCTTCTCGTGGGCCTGCGAAAGCCCCCAAGGGCGGAGAGAATTTTGGGGCTTGGGGCAAACCCTAAACCCTAAACCCTAAACCCTAAACCCTAAACCCTAAACCCTAAACGGGCTTTAAGGGGTTTAAGAGGGGTTTAAGAGGGAATTAAAAGGGGTTTACGGGTTTCAACGGGCTTTAGGCTTTAGGGTTGGCTCCGTAAGTTTGTGCTCGGGCTGTCGGTCAGAACCTCAATCCCTTCCCCTGAAGCCTGAAACCCTAAGCTTCAACCCCATAGGGTTTGGGTTATAGGGTTAGAGTTTAGGGTTTAGGATTTAGTAGCCCTGAACCCTAAACCCCAAATCTTTGGACTGCACACACAGGGTACGGGGTTGCCACTATGTCGTCTAGCAAGGACTAGCATCTGGAGGTTCAGCATACTTACAACCCCAATGATCACTGCACTTTATAAGCCCCCTAAGTCCCCTAAGTAGGTTATAATTGGACGTATAATTGGGGTTCTAAGTACCCATGAACCTCCCAGTAGCATCTAGAGACTATAAGGTTGACAATAAAGAACGAACGACCCAGTGGCAGACTGCCACCCCCACCCCCGTGCCTGCCCCAGCGACAAAACCAGAAGCCTGAAGCCCGAACACCCAAAGCACTGAATCCCTAAACCCTAAACCCTAAATCCCAAAGCACCTTGTAAGTGACAGGCTGTGTGCGATGAAGGGTGACCGCACAGTACAGCTGACTACAAGGCACCCTTCATGACCATCGCGCTAGCCACTCCTAGATACTGCTGGCACGTGCGCGCGTAAATGCGAATCTTGAGCCGAAACTAAACAGCCAAATTCCTCATCTCAAAAGCCCTAAACCCTAAACCCTAAACCCTACACCCTACACCCTACACCCTAAACCCTAAACCCTAAACCCTGAACCCTAAACCCTAAACCCTAAACCCCAAACCCCCCAAAAAACCCTTAAAGCCTCTCGTGTGTTACTTATATGCCCTGGCTCAGGACCGCCTCAGAGATCAGGCGCTCAATCTGGCCTTTTAGAACAGCGAGGGGGTGTTGGCTTTGGGGGGGGGGGTTGGTTAGGGTTTAGGAATGTCAGGGTTTAGGACTTTTTCGGTGCAGGGGGTTGGTGGGGGTTGCCAAGTTGTGATCAGCAGGCTGCTTCGGGGATTTTTAGCTTCAATCTTCGGCATGATACTTTTGTATTCCCCAAGAGAAGGCTCGATTCAGACTGGCAGGGCTTAGGGGTTTAGGGTTCCTAAGGTTAGTTCAGGGCATAGGGTGATAGGGGACTTGTTGGATCGCGTGCTGGGGCTCGGTGTTCCCGGGTTGCGTCACCTTTTCGGGAAGAGCGGGCCCCATGTATAGGGCACTAAAACCCTGTAAAGGCGTTTCAACACATACTCGTAAAATCCAGAACTCCCATAAAGGACCATGGTTCTCTTTGTCATGAGGGAACCCTAAACCCTAAACCCTAAACCCTAAACCCTAAACCCTAAAAGCCCTAAAGGCCCATACGCGGCTTAGTCGCCACTGTTGACACTTCCTGCGAATTGAGGGTTGACATCCACCTGGGCTGGCAGGTGTTTAGGGTTTAGGGTTTAGGGTTTAGGGTTTAGGGTTTAGGGATTAGGGTATAGCTCACGCCCAGGCGCGCGCCCACACGTACATCTAATTGAGAGCATGCACGAAGCCATGAATCCCTTGGTAGTTTCCTACGTGTTGCGATCAAGTCCGACTTGAATACTTCCTGATCTTGGTCGGCGTGTAATTCTACATCAAGTTTCTCCCAGGCACTTTTGGGACATCGCAATGATTTCAACAAAAGTCAAAGGCTTCGGGCTATCTTCGACCGGTTTGGTGAATTCGGGAAAGCTCCGAAGCATAGCTACGCAATCTGTGCATGGGACATTAAGAGTTTGGGAACTTCGGTTTAGGGTTTTGAGCTTGTATAGAGTTCATGACTGCACAATTCCGGGGTCCGGCTTCAAGCCCAAAGACGATATACGACAAATAACTAAAGGCCTTTATGCCCGAGACCGCTTGCTTGGGAGCTGCTTCGGATGTGGTTAAAAAGTGTCTGCTCTGGGAAGGTCCGAAGAACCATGTTCTTGATGACCTCTCGGACCATGTCGACCATGAAGCTCTTCTCCTAGGGGTTAGGGTTTCGGGTTTCGGGTTTCGGGTTTCGGGTTTAGGGTTTAGGGTTTATGGTTCAGGGTTTAGGGTTTGGGGCTTTTTGGGGATATGGGGCTTTGGGACCAATGCAGGTCCGGACCCAGGGACTGGCCCTCTACCCGTGGTAGTGTGCAAATAGATCTGTGGGGGTCCATAAGGGAATCCTACGATGTTATCTATATTAGGGTCCGGGTCCCTTATTTTCGTAAGCCCCCGTATGTATATACATGAATAGCACTGGGCAGGGACCGAATACATGCTTGCAGTGTGCCAGGAACGGCAAGGCACGTTGAAGCACATCTGGATGGGTGGGTTGGCTTGAGGGCTTATAGGGTTTACAGGGCTCACCGGGCTTAAAAGACTTACAGGGTATATCGTAGGGTTTAGGGTTTAAAGTTTAGGGTTTAGGGCTTAGGGTTGAGAGCTTAGGGTTTCTGGTCTACAGGGCTCGGGCTTGGTTTCTGCATTCCGAGTCGCTTTCTACTTGCCAGGCTTCCAAGATGCGCGACATAATTGGGGGGATGGAAACCCACGTGAACCCTAGACTGCCACAAAGAAGCCCCAACCCTAAGCCCCTAAGCCCCTAAGCCCTAAACCCGAAACCCTAAACCCTAAATCCCATAGCCCTAGAACCCAAACCCTTAAATCCTAAACCTTTCGTCCTGCGGCTCCAGGGTTTGCAGCGGTTCATAGAAGAGAATCACATCCTCAGAGAGCTGCGGGCTGGGCGGGGCTTTTTTGACTTTGACCCGAGCGAACTCCGGTTTAGGGTTTAGGGTTTAGGGTTTAGGGTTTAGGGTTTAGGGTTTAGGGTTTAGGGTGCAGGGTTTAGGGTTTAGGGTTGAGGGTTTCGGGTGGAGGGGTGTAGGGTTCAGGTTGAGGGTCTAGGGCCATTTTTCTGCTGTTCTCTGCTTCGCTCTTTCTCTTGTCTTTTCCCGTCGTCCGTTTTTTTCTTCATTGAGAGAGAGAAAGAGAGAAAGAGAGAAAGAGAGAAAGAGAGAAAGAGAGAAAGAGAGAAAGAGAGAAAGAGAGAAAGAGAGAAAGAGAGAAAGAGAGAAAGAGAGAAAGAGAGAAAGAGAGAAAGAGAGAAAAAGAGAAAGAGAGAAAGAGAGAAAGAGAGAAAGAGAGAAAGAGAGAAAGAGAGAAAGATAGAAAGAGAGAAAGAGAGAAAGAGAGAAAGAGAGAAAGAGAGAAAGAGAGAAAGAGAGAAAGAGAGAAAGAGAGGGAGAGAAAGAGAGAAAGAGAGAAAGAGAGAAAGAGAGAAAGAGAGAAAGAGAGAAAGAGAGAAAGAGAGAAAGCGAGAAAGCGAGAAAGCGAGAAAGCGAGAAAGCGAGAAAGCGAGAAAGAGAGAAAGAGAGAAAGAGAGAAAGAGAGAAAGCAAGAAAGAAAGAATGAAAGAACGAATGCATGAATGAATGAATGAATGCGTGACTGAATGAATGAAGACGACCTTTTTGAGGATTTGGTGATGTTCAATGATTTTAATCGTTTTGGTAGGGGATCTGAGTGCCAAAACTATTAAAATTATGAAAACCACCAACAAATTATCAAAAAAATGAGGTGTTTGAGGACTTTTGTGATTTTCAATAATTTCAATAGTATTGGTAGGGGCCTAACCGCTAAAACTATTAAAACGACTATCGAAAATCACCAAAAACCACAAAAAACGCCAAAAAGTTGGTATTTTTTCATAGTTTTAATCGGTTTCATAGCTTTTATAGTTTGGTAGGGGCCCTGAGTGCCAAAACTATTAACACTATTAAAACTATTAACACTATTGAAAATATTGAGACTATTAAAACTATTCCTATTGCTGATTTAGAAATCACGTTTGTGAGGATTTTGGTGATTTGAAGATTTTCGTACTTTTCGTAGGGGCCCTGAGCGCCCAAACTATTAAAATTATTGAAAATCACCAGAAACCTCAAAAATGCAAATTTTCAACAATTCTAATTTTCAACATTTTTTTTAATAGTTGTGGTAGGGGCCCTGAATGCCAAAACTACTAAAATCTATTAAAATTATTCATGTTTTTGAGGCTTTTGATGATTTTCAATAATTTCAATCGCTTTGGCACATAGCCATCACCAAAAACCTCAAAACCGCAATTTTTTCAGTGGTTTTTAGACATTTTAGTAAGTCTTCAATACTTTTAATAGTATTACCAGTTTTGAAATATAGGATATCCTCAGACAAAGAGGCGTTCACATTGTACATAGAGGTTCTCTTACACACATATATATATATATATACGTTGTATATTTTGAGTTCTATCTTATATACTCGATCTATGCATGACAACATCAGCATCAACATTAACATCCGCATCAACATCAACATCAACGTCAACATCAGCACTATCACCATATGAAATTTACATATTATATATTGTGCGTTGTATATCATAGGTAATATTCCTTATATACGGAATAGTACATATCCTGTAGAACATATGTACTAATATTTCTTTGTATATTTCATGTGTTGAATATTGATATACATATATATATCCAATAAGAATAATAAGAATAATGATAACAAAATAATAATAAAAAGAATAGAATAGAGTAGAATAGACTAAAAATAATATATATATATATATATGTAGATATGCGGGCACGTTTTTCCAGTACTGCTAGCACGAATAAGCACATTGAAAACACACAGGAGGCACCCCTGTTCAGGGTCTCCTACTTTGTAATAAGTACATCATAAAGCCAAGGTGCACGTGCCGCACACAACTGCCTCTGCCAAGGAGAACAGTTTGCAAGCGGCCTTGAGCCCAGGGTTCAAGATATATTGCCAGTTGCATCGCCTTGGCATTTGCGCCTTTGCCCGTGTATGCATTTGTTGATGTCGATGCCAATCTGGACGCATCTCTACACACGTCAAAGCTCAATAGGGCTTGGCGCAGCAGGACTTGGCTGGTGCTGCACTTCTTGAGTACCAGGTGGCAGCTGATGCAGATCACGGCTTCAGCGACGCTGAACACCGTGCACGCCACCTCTAGCAACGACGCACATTTTTTTGCGAAACCGGACTTGTTAGACAATGGAACACCCCTGTTTCCCAAACATGACGCATGCAGACCAAGCCTTGCTCTTGCAATGTACGCCCTGAGAGCGATCACCTGGGCAAAGCAAGTGCATGTAGAACATTGCGGGCAGCAGCTGTAGCTGCTACGTTACATGCCCAAAGAATTTATTTGCCACGAGGGACGAAGATCCAGGATGGCAGCAACATAGTCATGTCGACTTGCCATCCAGTTTCACAGTGGCATTCCTGAGACAGCTGCGCAAGCTCGTTTGTACATGGGCCAGATGTTACAAAGCCTGCATTGCAACAGCTCACGGCAAGCACTCTGTTCCTCTCTCGTTGGCTTTGGTACTTTTGTTCCGCTCTCTCTCCCTCTCCCTTCCCTCTCCGCACTTCCTCGTCACAGGATCTGAAAGCTGATGCTAAAGCCACAAGTGCCGACAAGGCTCCTGGCCTTGCGCAGAGCCTGTGGCAAGAGCAAACGCAGCAGACAAAACCATGCAACACTGGCCTGCGCAGAAGCTTGGGACCTCACACACTACCGCTGCCGGACCATTCACCGGGTGGATCATTGCCACCGAGCAGGCCAAGATGGGCGAAGCGATGCGTAAGGCTCGGGGCGACTACGCGCTGAAATCAGCTGTGGAGCCAGAAGCCATTGGGTAAGAGCAAATGGAATTTCTGATGGGAACTTATTTCCGGACTCCGGCTGGGGGTCACAGTTTAGGTTCAGATTCGGATTGAGCCAAGGCCAGATGCATCAAAAGACTTGAGGAATGCACTGCCACATTGTCCCACGGAGTGGCGACAATGGGCAGGAGCATAACCTCATATACACGGCATAACACATACATGCAAACCGTGCTGTGGTTCGGTTTCCATTGGCATTTCGGGCTTTTTAGGGTTTAGGCTTAGGGCTTTTTCGGGCTTTAGGGTTTAGGGTTTTGGGTTTAGGGTTTAAGGTTTAGGGTTTAGGCGGTTTGGGGTTTTAGGGTTTCTTAGGATTTAGGGTTTTAGGGCTTTTTAGGGTTTACGGTTTTAGGGCTTTTTAGGGTTTAGGGCTTTTTGGGGTGTTTAGGGCTTTTTGGGGCTTAGGGCTTTTTGGGATTAGGGCCTTTTTGGGGGTTATGGCTTTTCAGTGCTTCGGGCGTTTTAGGGTTCAGGGCTTCTTAGGGATTAGGGCTTTTTCGGGTTTAGGGTTCAGGGCGTTTTAGGGCTAAGGCCTTTTTTGGGTTTAGGGATTTTTAGGGTTTAGGGTTTAGGGCTTTTTAGGGTTTAGGGCGTTTTAGGGTTTAGGGCATTTCAGGGCTTAGGGCTTTTTAGGGATTAGGGCCGCTTAGGGTTCAGGGCTTTTGGGGTTTAGGGTTTAGGGAGTCGAAAGCTCAGAGGGTTGTCGTTTTTGCATAAAGACAGCCCGGGAGCACGCAGAGGGGCGTCGTTTGGGTTTAGGGGTTTAAGGTTTAGGGCTTAGGGTTTAGGGTTTAGGGCTGAGGGCTTACGGTTTAGGGGTTGGGGTTTGGGGTTTAGAATTTAGGGTCTAGGGTTTAGGGTTTGGGGTTTAGGGTTTGGGGTTTAGGGTTTAGGGTTTGGGGTTTGGGGTTTGGGGTGGCAGGGTTCCAGGGAGTTTAAGGGGGTCCCACAATAAAGGGGTTCTAGGGGGTCACCGCCAGGGCCAGGACCCCCCCTGGCCTGGGGCAGTCGCTCAGCTTTAGGATTTAGGGTTTAGGGTTTAGGGTTTAGGGTTTAGGGTTTAGGGTTTAGGGTTTAGGGTTTAGGGTTTAGGGTTTAGGGTTTAGGGTTTAGGGTTTATGGTCCAGGGTCCAAAAAACTACTGACCCCTACCCGGCAAAGCATGAGGATCCCTTTCAGCCGTGCCTTCCGCTTGCGCGGATGCTTATGCCAGGCCGTAGGAGGGGATTACAAGTACCGCTGCCCGACCCACGGTCCACTGCAGATCTCAACTCTGACCCAAACATGGCCTAAACTCTAAACCCTAAACCCTAAACCCTAAACCCTAAACCCCAAACCTAAACCCTAAACCCTAAACCCTGAACCCCAAACCCTAAACCCCAAACCCCAAACCCTAAACCCCAAACCCCAAACCCTAAACCCTAAACCACAACCTAGCTTAGGAACGTGGATCGACATGACCCGAGCGGCGGCGTAGCCCTCCGTCGGATCCCAGCGAGATCGCACACGATCGCGGAGAGTCGACACCTCCTGTTCGGGATCTCGGTACGAAGTTTAGAAAGGTCCTGGGGCAGGCGAGGGCGGGGGGGCGGGGGGGGAGAGGGTTGAAACTTGCAACCAGTGCCTGGCACCGGCCTTTTAAAAGTCTGGGCTTCGTAGTCGGGCTGCAGCTATGAACCCCCAAGCCCAAAAGCCTCAAGGGTTTTCAGTAGGTGGTGGGGCGCCAGGTGGCCGGCTTAAGGTTGCTGAGCCCCAGCCCCAGCGTCTAGGCTCTTGGGCTTCAGGGTGGTCGCGGGAAGTCGAAAAGCACCCCTCATGAAAGATTCGGGAGGGGCACGCAACACACCCCTAAACCCTAAACCCTACACCCTACACCCTAAACCCTAAACCCTACACCCTATACCCTAAACCCTAAACCCTAAACCCTAAACCCTAAACCCTAAACCTAAACCCAAACCCTTCCGGAGCCCATGGGCACCTTCAGGTAGGCCTCGCGTGCCAGCCGCAGCTGGGCTTTCAGACGCTGGAGGCCTAGAAAGGACACCGTGGCTGGCTTAGAGGGTTTAGAGTTTAGGGCTTGGGGTTTTGGGGTTTAGGGTTTAGGGTTTCAGGGTTTAGGGTTTGGGGTTTAGGGTTTAGGGTGTAGGGTTTAAGCACCCAGACGCTAGAAGCCTCTGGCTCTAAAGACCCTTATTACTTCATATCACTTCCTCAGGCTTCACTAAACCGCCCTGGGGTGTATGCAGAACAACCCAGGAGGCTAGGCAGGCTGCACAATATTCTCAGCAAACTCGTAAACTCTATGTTTTTCGGGGGACAGCTCTCGGGCAAAGCTGACAAATTCGAGATGGTGCGGTTCTTCTGAGGAGGCTCAACTGCACCGCTCGCCTGACCTAAGTCGAGCTGAAGCCTACACCGTAAACTCTAAACCGCGAGCTCTACTCCCTGAGGCCTTCTGGGGCGTTGTCTACATTCAACCCACAACTCGAACCCTACACCTTGACTCCTGAACCCTGAATCCCCAGACCCCCAAACCCAAAGGCCCTAAACCCTAAACCCTAAACCCTAAACCCTAAACCCTAAACCCTAAGCCCTAAGCCCTAAGCCCTAAACCCTAAACCCTAAACCCTAAACCCTAAACCCTAAACCCTAAACCGACTCAGCGACACCTCCTGGCCTTGCTCCAACTCCGCCTTGTGCACGCGCAGGGGCCGCACGAAGTCATGCCAACCTGAATCTTCGGGGGCAGAGGTTTAGGGTTTAGGGTTTAGGGTTCAGGGCTTAGGGCTTAGGGCTTGGGGTTTAGGGTTAGGGTTAAGGGTTTAGGGTTTAGGGTTTAGGGTTTCGGGTTTGGGGTTTGGGGTTTAGGGTTTAGGGTTTAGGGTTTGGGGCTTAGGGTGTAGGGTGTAGGGTGTAGGGTTTAGGGACCACAGAAACCCGAGCAAGCCCCAAGAAGCAACTAAGGGCTTTTGGGCTTGCAGGGCTTGTAGGGTTAGATCTCTAGGAACCTTGGGGCCCCCTTGCAGGGCCCATGTTGTGAACATGGGTGATTTGGGTGTGCCGCGCGGCATCTTTGCCAAATGCTACCACGGAGCAACTAAATCCTGAACGACAGTCATCCTAAAGCCCAAACACCCCCGCCCCCCCCCCCCCCCCCCCAAAAAAAGAAAAAACAAAAGCACAATCCAAAATGATAAATAAAACAAAGCAAAGCCCCCCCCCCCCCAAAAAAAAAAAAAAAACGCAACACCCCCAAACCCCCCAAAACTCTCCAAAACCGCCCAGAACCGCCCGCCCAAACGCAAAACCCCATTCAAAAAGCCCCATTCAAAGTGCGCTTGGAGAGGCAGAGGTGGGCCGTGCAGAGCTTGGTGTCGTGCATCGCCTTGCGGTGGTGTTTCGTTGCCTTTTTCTTGCGAGGAAGGGCCTTAAATCCCTCTGATCCTCTTAAGCCCGAATAGGAGAAGGTATGGCATATCCCAACAAGGGCCACCCGTGCATTGGTTTGGGGTCTCTGGCTTGGGGTTTGGGATCAGGGGGTCGGGATCCACCCTGCAACCCCGCAGCCCAGAAAGCGGTAGGCCTAAACCCGAAACCCTAAAACCGAAACCCTCAACCCTAAACCCTAAACCCTAAACCGCGCATTTGCAAGGTAGACCCCCTCAACGCGTCCCCAAGCTCCACCAAGGCAGCTCGGGCAAGTCCGGGCTTCCGCAGCCCGCATGAAAGCACACACATGACATTAGGGAGGGCCTGCAGCCTTCAAGGGCCTCTCGGATGTCGGGGCGCTGAGTTTGGGGCCTTTTCGATCTGTTTGTAAACCGCTTCATCACGAAATGCCGAATCACTGTAGCCTCTTACTTTTGGATTCTGCAGTGCTCGTGTGCCCACAGAAGCCAGGCGCCGGAAATGCACTCCTGACCGGCCTTCTCCGCAACTGGCTCCATACCTACTCCTGACATCTGAAACCCATCTCCGCCTGAAGGCATCAAACCCCCAAGCCCTGAAGCACCACAAGCGTGCAGTGCGCGGAGCGATTCTTCGATTTACTACGTCTGCTTCCATTGCAGAGACCCTGGCGGCGTTTGCCTGAGGAGCCTCGGCAAGTGAGACCCGAGCTCGAAACCTTGGGAACCAAGGGAACCCTAAAATTGGGACCATATACCCCATACTACTAGAATCCTTATTAGGGTATATGAACCATCAACCCTTTTAGGGTTGATTTGGTTCTCAAGGAACGATTCTAAACGACTCTAAGCCAACCATGCACTTGAAACACTTTGACAGGCACCTCTCCAGCTGACCACTCCCCGGCCGGGTCGCCTTCCTAAACCCTAAACCCTAAACCCTAAACCCTAAACCCTAAACCCTAAACCCTAAACCCTAAACCCTAAACCCTAAACCCTAAACCCTAAACCCTAATTAAACCCTAAACCCTAAACCCTAAACCTCTCAACAGGCAAAAAAAGGCCTTGGCCAGCAGATTGAGCAGCTGAACCCGGTCGACGGGCTTTCCGCGCGTAAAGGCCTCCTGCACAGCGCTTGCTTTTGGGGTTTAGGGTTTAGGGTTTAGGGTTTAGGGTTTAGGGTTTAGGGTTTAGGGTTTAGGGTTTAGGGTTTAGGGTTTAGGGTTTAGGGTTGCGGGTTTAGGGGGGTTGGGGTTTGAGTTTGTGGGCTTTGCTTTTTGGGTTTTTTTGGGGTTCTGGGGCTTCTCGGGTTTGGAGCTGGGTGTTTAGGATTTTTATGCCTGTGTCCGGAAAGCCTCCTGGGTCTAAACCCTCACAACCTACGCACACAATGGCCCTAAATTGGCCTGAAATCCAAACCCTTACAAGCCCTGCACCCCAAAACAACGAGAGGTGCACAAACCTACGACCTGCAACACCGAAGGCCCAATACTGCCATGAACTCTCCTTTGGCAAATCGAAGGGCTTAGGGTCTAGGATTTAGGGTTAGGGCTTTGGTGTTTAGGATTTAGGGCCTGGGGTTTAGGGTTTAGGGTTTAGGGGAGAGTCCCAGATCGAGGTCGGAGTCGGAGGCATTTTCCCTCCATACCCCATATCCTTCTCGGGACGATACAGGCTTGGAGTTGGGTTCTCCGAGCTTCAAGCCCCCACGCCACACCGCAACCGCACACCCAAACCCTCAGCTCAACACAAAAACAGGTCCACCCCTTGGGAACCAAATGAACCCCGAAAATTGGGACCATATACCCTATACTACTATAATCCTTATTAGGGTATATGAATCATAAACCCTGTTATAGTACTATAATCCTTATTAGGGTATATGAACCATAAACCCTGTTCGGCTTCATTGAGTTCTCAAGGCCTCCTCACCACTGAGGAGGCTCTCATGCACCGACCGCATTGCCCGGGAGGACTGGGCCATGAGCCTTGGAAACGAGGCATGGAAGGTATTGGCTCACCATGCAGGGGTTTAGGGTTTAGGGTTTAGGGTTTAGGGTTTAGGGTTTAGGGTTAGGGTTTAGGGTTTAGGGTTTAGGGTTTAGGGTTTAGGGTTAGGGTTTAGGGTTTAGGGTTTAGGGTTTAGGGTTTAGGGTTAGGTTTATAGGTTTAGGGTTTAGGTTAGGTTGAGGGTTTGGTTTAGGTTAGGGTTAGGGTTTAGGGTTTAGGGTTTAGGTTTATGTTTAAGGGTTTAGGTTAGGGTTTAGGGTTTAGGGTTTTAGGGTTTAGGGTTTTAGTGTTTAAGGGTTTAGGTTTAGGGTTTAGGTTTTAGGGTTGGGGTTTAGGGTTTAGGGTTTTAGGGTTTAGGGTTTAGGGTTTAGGTTAGGGTTTAGGTTTTAGGGTTTAGGGTTTAGGGTTTAGGGGTTATGTTTAATCGCACTTCGGGGCGTCTGTGCAATCTCTTGTATCAGAGGGCTTTCCCGACAAAGCATGTCGGGTCTTTGCTGATCTTCTATCGGTTTAGTTACCCTCCTGTATCGACAGCTGTGCTCAATCCACTTGGTCATGCCCAGCCCCCCAATGGCCCCCCCCAGAAGCCCCATACCTTGTGTTTGCAAGTAGGGTGTTGCGATCCTTGAGTTTTGACGGTTTTCCAAGTAGACGCCCAAACTTAAAGCTGATAGGCCCAACTTAGCAGTAAAGCACGAGCGAAAAACCCAAGACCTACGCAAACCCCTTCCTTACTAAACCTACGCCCAAATCCTACCCCATGGAGTTAAGCACACCCTGGAAAGCTTAGGCTTGGGGTGTGAAGTCTGAGGCTCTTGGCTATTGTCGTTAGATTGGGTTTCCTGGCCGGAACTCAACCCCATCGCGAAACCCCAAACACTTACAATTTCGCCCAATCCACAAGATTTCTATAACCCCAGCCCGAGCCCCAGCGGCTGAAAGTTAGAATGACCTGGCCAGTGAAAGTTAACATGCTCCTCGACGTTGCCGACCTGCACCACGGTTTAGTTTTAGGGTTTCCGGTTTAGGTTTAGGGTGTAGTGTGTAAGGTGTAGGTGTTTCGGTCAGGGTATAGGGTTTTTTAAGGGCTTAGGGTTATGGGCTTAAGGTTTAGGGTTTAGGGTTTAAGTTTAGGGTTAGCCCCAGCGACCGGCCTTTTTTAAAACTTTTTTCAAGTAGAAAACAGAAACCTCGAAGGCCCAATTCGCGTAGCTGATTCACCGTTTCGAAGGACGGTTTATTTGGACACCCATAAGCCAGCGTTGGATTATTCTACTCTTGAATCTGCAGAGGACATGGTCTTTTTGGCTTTTGGGTGTCTCTAGGCCTTTGTGTTTTGAGGGGCAAATATTTTCTTTCTCGCTAGGAGTGCGCATTAGATCCTTGGGGAGGCACAAAAGCACAGAAAAGAAATTCAAGCTTGACAAAAACCAGATCCGAACAAAAACCAGACCAAAAACAAAAAATTACCAACACATTTCCGGGACTCTTGGTGTTTTTGCGATGCGACTTTGCTGTCTGGTTGTCTGGGCGGGCGGGGGTGGGTGTGTGGGTGGGTGTGGGATGGGTGGGATTGTGACGGTGGCCTGCTGCCTGTGATGTGTGGGTGATTGGTGGTGGGCGGCTGTGTCTGGTGATGTTGGGGGCAGAATGGTGGGTGTTGGGGGCAAGAAAATTTGCTGGCTCTGGGCCGGTGGGTAATCCTCTATGCAGCGAGGTCCATCCACCAATTTCAATCAGAATCTGAATTGTAAATCTGCGTCTTTTTGAAGAAAAAAAAAAAAAAACAAGCTAAACAGGATTTTCGTTTCAGGAAATCGGAACGGAACGCCCACCCCGAGGATCATCAGAATTTCAGAACTGACAATCCGGACCCCCCATTCCATTAAGGAATCTGACTTGAACAACACAACCCTACCCTATGAAAAATGTAAATATTTTGAGTTTTAGTTTGCGCGCTGAACATGGGTGGAATAATCCGGGGTTGACACATCATGATGTCAGGCACTCTAACAGAATGTGGGTTTGTGGGGTGTTGCATGGAAGGGATTGACTGGGTTGTGCCTGGCACAATCAAACCTTCCGGCTTCCAGAAACGCGCAATCTTGCAAACAATGACAAAGTCAGTTGCCAAGCGATTCTCCCTGTGTCGTCCCATTCTCCAAGCTGCGCAGTATGCTGAGTGCTGTGGCATAGGGGCCAATTCGCCAATCCTCCCACGCCATTTTTCGCCTCGACATCGAAGAGAACCAAATCGAAGCCGCGCCGCCGCTGCGTGTGGGTCCTAGCGGGCACTTGTTGAGCATAGGACTTGTTAATCTCACGCCTCTTGGTAAAGAAGAGACCACCGTCATCTCGGAACTTAGCCTGCTCGTGCGAATGCGTCCCTGACTACTATGTTCCTGCATTCCATCAAAAGGGAGCCGCCCAGAGGAGCAAATATTGGTATTATTCCGACCGACCAGGTGTCATCCAAAAGCTGTTGTAGCCGTGGCCCGCCGAAACCTCCGCGCCGTGTACCCCAGTGTTTCCTGGACTGTCCTCTTCTGACTCCTTCAATTCGCAAATTTGGCAAGGCCGAGTCCATGAATGTCCTCACTGATCTGCGTTCCCTGGAGTACAACATGATTTGTCAGGCTTTAAATCTCTGAGGACAACCCACATCCCTGCAATATAGGACAGCCCGTCAACACGTGACAAATCAGTTTGCAATTTTCGGGGAAACACTCCGTGCTGGGTTGTCATAACAGGTCCCCCCGTCACCCCACCCCGCAGCGCACCCCCCACACCGCCCCCACCCCACGCCCCGACCCCGTCCCCCCCCCCTACCCCTCCCCGCCCCCCCCCAGGGCACGGGATACTTGCAACCAAACAGGGGTTCTTACAACCAAAACCGGAATGTCACAGGCGGCGTGCTTGAGGGCAAGCAGAAACCGTGATAATCACAAAACCGCGTATTTAAGGTTTACAAGTTACAACATTCCAACCAAGTGGCGGGTCGTGCACAAACACCAAACGCAACTGTGAAAACATCTTCAGTTGTGATTCTCCAATCGATTGGCCGCGTCCTCCCTGCTTTCCTAAGCCCTATCGAACCGCCTAGCGATTGAGTAACAAATGCTCGAAGACAAAGCACGACACAGATTTTTTGCAGAGATTCTGCATTGCCACAAGAAGTTTTCGCTGTTCATTTCTCTGCTGTTATTGTTCAGGATTTGTGGTTTATCAGGACTTTCTATTTTTGTTGGAGTCGACCGGCCACCGCCGGTTGTTTTCTCGCGAGTCCTTTAGGGTGATCTGGGCACTTTGAGCAATATACAAGCCAAGTTGTCTACGCAAGAAGCGTATTCGTCTCTGACCCCCTGGGTAGAGCCAGACGACCGCATTATGCTCCATTTTGCGTATGGTCCCTCCAGTGACAGTTCGTTGCGCGATGCGGCTGCGGTCTCCCCTGGGTTCTTGCCACGAGCCAGGGAGTGCTCACCATGGCCTTCTTCAGTGGTGACCGCTTGAGTTCACTCCTCTCCCTGGGCAAGGTGAACGTGACCTTGTCGTTCCCGTGTATTTAACGGGCTAAACGCACCAAAAGGCCAGATTCCGAAGTGGGAAGGGCGCAGCGGGGCGGGATGTCTGCAGAAGGGCGGCGTGGCCATTCTGCAAGTCTTCGACCACCCCCTATAAACCTTTCATGGCGGGGGCCCATCAACGGGTGGCGGAGGCTGCCCTGAGACACGGAGGGGGAAGAGTGTGGATCCAGACCGGCTGCGGACAATATTTTTGACGCCAAGAATGATGCACCGAGCCCCAAGCACTACGTTGATCAACTTGCAAATGATTCGCATAAGTAGTGTAATGCATCCCAGCTGTCGGTTTTCAGGTTTGGCAACCCGAATTCTGAGGAGCACAGATGCTTTGGGCAAACTTGCAGCATTTAAAAAAACCGTCACTATCAAAAACTATCGCATACTACCCTTAAACTAGTGGTTTAAGTCTAGCATGTCAGTTTTCCTATAACAAGTAGAAAGAGAGGTCACTCTTGGCATGTTGAGGAACTGGCATACACAGCTTGTGGTTCATTTCATCGAAGGAACAAGCTAATCCCTCAACGTGTGGGGTGACCTAACTGTGTCTGTGTAATTTATAGTGTAGGGTTCATTAGGGTTTATTAGGGTTTATATAGTTCTTGCTGCAGCGGGTTTGACCACTCTTTGGAGTGAACTCTTGGCCATTCTAAGGGGGTTTTGTACAAGAGTATTGGCTCTCCTCAACGTCAAACCAGACCCTGGTTCACGCCTATAAGTCCGTGCGGGCTGCAGGAACTTATTTGGTGCGGGGGCGGGGGGGGGGGGGGTGGGGTGTTTCAGTTCTGTCCTTGCGGCGCAAACCCCGATTCACCTGAAGCTGCTGTGGCTGATTTCTGCTGAAACACCAAACCCTCAACCGTCAACCCCCAACCCTCAACCCTCAACCCTGGATCTCTGGCCCTTGAGGTTTCCCAAGTCCTTGCAACGGGCGCGGGCCTGAATTTCGACCCTTCGTGCCAGTCCTTCAGCTCGCTCCTCTTTATGCCAGAGGTTATGCACCTGAGCTCGGACCCTAAACCCTAGGCCCTATGTAAACCCTAAGCCCGAAACCCTAAACTCTGGCTAATTACAAGGTCCCTGAATATGGGCCCTTAATTGGGGACCTCTTTCATACCCCTTATATACCCTATACAGCCCAAGGGCCCATACTTCAGAACCCTTCGAAGAAGGTAAGGGGCCAAATTACGGGACCATGTAGCTATCCTTGGAAGCCCCTAAACCCCTACACCCCTAATCCCCAAAACCCCTAAACCCCTGGGGCCCTAGAGCCCTAAACCCCTAAACCGCTAAACCCCCCCTTAACCCCCAAACCCCCTAGTCCCCTAATTAAACCCTGAATTTTGGGGGTCCTTGGGATGGCGGGCATGGGGGGCCTCTCCGGCTGGCTTCGGGTTAGAGGTCCCCATGGGGTTAGGTCGCAGGATTCCCCCCACATTTACACTAGACTGAGGACTGAAGACCAAGAACCTCGCTTAGCATGGAGCACAAGAGCGCTCCCTATGTTATAGGATACCCCAAACCAGAAAGGCCACAAGCGCGAATCAAACCCACCAGCGGTGTCCTTCATTTGATTCTGAGCCCCCTTTCCGCCGGGAAGAATTGGTTTAGCATTAGGGGAAAACACCCCCCCCCCCCTCTCTCCCCACCATGAAAACCTGCCCCCAGGGCTCAGACGACAGAAACTGAGACGCAGGCTTGTTGATCGTAAGAATTTGCGACACAAGCTGTTGGAAGACATACTTGTGCTTCTTGTCAAGCTCCTGGCAAGCAAGAAGGAGCGTCATTCGACCTCGCAGAGCGGCAAGGGAGGGCTGAGCCCTGAACCAAGGAAGCATACTTACCCTAAACCCTAAACCCTAAACCCTAAACCCTAAACCCTAAACCCTAAACCCCAAACCTAAACCCTAAACCCTAAACCCTAAACCCTTGCATCCCGCAGGCTTTTGCACCTCATGAGTGCCGTCTGCTTCTTGCGCCAGCTGCCCAGCAGCCTCTTATCCGCAGGTAAACATCATCCCTTCCTGCCCTCCCAAGAACGAGGAGACCAACAAGACAACAAACACGCCTGGCCCAAACACAGCATCAATTGTTGATCCCCCTTTTCAGGCCGTTCAACCCTAAACCCTAAACCCTAAACCCTAAACCCTAAACCCTAAACCCTAAACCCTAAACCCTAAACCCTAAACACTCCATTCCTCAACCCTAAACCCTGCTTCAAGAGTCCTTGAGGTCGAGGTCTTCAAGCGCATCGAGCTGCAGCCGCGACTCGTCGAAAAAGGGCTTCTGCTGAACGCCCGGGCCCTCGCACAGATTTAATTTGGGGATATGGGGGAGTTTTACGATTATTAGGGGGTACCCTACCTTAGCAATTTATGAGGGGATCCTACTATTTAGGGCCTTTATTAGGGTTTAGGGATGGGGGTTTTTACGATACGAGGGGGTACCTTCTTGAAGTCCTTATTCTGAGGGGATCCCACTATTTGGGTCTATTCTAGGGGTCCCTTATGATTGTAAACCCCCATATCTAGGGTATCGTCGGATCTGTCCCCTTTTCGCTGCTTTCCAGCTCCGGGATTCGTGTAAGAATGGTGCAGGGTTACACAGCTAGGGAGTCGGAACGAAATACCTGAGTCGTTCCGAGCCTCTAAGCTTTCGGCTGTTGGACTAGGGTGTAGGGTTTTAGGGTTAGTTAGGGCTTAGGTTCTTTCGGGTTTAGGGTAAGGCTTGGGGGAGACCCCGACCCCGGAACGGCTCCAACTGCATCTGTAGGCGAGGCCCTGACGGCCCCGAAACGTCTCAGGTCTGATCACGCTTGCTGGTCTTGGGGCCTGAGGCCTCTCATTCTTGTGGGAAACGGTCTCAAAAAGCAGCCCCTCACGAAACCGCAAACCCTACACCCTACACTCTAAACCCTAAACCCTACACTCTAAACCCTAAACCCTAAACCCTAAACCCTAAACCCTAAACCCTAAACCCTAAACCCTAACACCATCCTAACCACCCCAGGACCACTGAGCTGCCAAGATCGGCTCCACCCGCAAGTCGGCCTCAACTCTTGATGCTAGTGGCGATCTCTCCCAGCCCTGGTTCTCTTAGCATGCTCCGGTTAGAACCCTAAAACCCTAAACCCTAAACCCTAAACCCTAAACCCTAAACCCTAAACCGGAAGTGCTTCTCCAAAAAAAAGCCATAAGACCTAAACTTGACGATGCTGAACCCTACAACCGCCCAAGAGACACCACAAAGCCCCGTTTCTAAAGGGAGCCTTGGAGAGCTGTTTCTTGAGCAGCCGCTTTTGATCTTCTTTGAGAGATAACCTCGGCGTGGGGGGGAATCTTCAATACTTGGCATAGGATTTCAGGCGAACTTATGGTATTCAGGGCTGAGGGGCATTTAAGACTGAAACACCATGTGCATCTTGAATCGTACTACCGTGTAAAACAACGCAGTGATGCATGTACATGAAACTAATCAACAAATTCTAAACGAGGCATGTCTTCTTCTACAATCATTCTCTGCGCTCGTAAGGCAAAAAAGTCATACAATATGTACAGTACAGAATATATGTCTGCGCGTGTCGAGTGCTGTTCAGTACGCTTCTTTGGGGAGCGAAGGCTGTTCATGATGCTTCTTCGTGGAGCGTCTTCATGCCTTCTCGGCGCCACTCAGCCTTCGCAACCTCCCCTTCGCACCACCTCCAGACAATCTTTGCTCAGTTGGGCCGGCGTGGGGAAACGCGCGCCCAGGACACACAGTTGCTGTAGAACGAAGAAGCGCCCACCAGTTAGACACACACACACACACACACACACTCACATACATACATACGCCCGCCCGCCCGCCGCCCGCTCACGCACGCAAGGATTGCCATATGCGTACTAGTGTGTAGCTTTGCTTCCTGGCGCGTTTGCATTTGCAGCGGTCCAGGCCTACCAGTTGCGCAGCCTTGAGGCAACCCTCACTGATACCCAGATACACGTACACAACCCTGAAACTGAACCCCTAAACCCCTTAAACCCCTTAAACCCCTTAAACCCTAAACCCTAAACCCCTTAAACCCCTTAACCCCCTTAAACCCCTTAAACCCCCTTAAACCCCCTTAAACCCCCTTAAACCCCTTAAACCCCTCAAACCCCTTAAACCCCTTAAACCCCTTAACCCCCTTAAACCCCTCAAACCCCTTAAACCCCTTAAACCCCTTAAACCCCTTAAACCCCTTAAACCCCCTTAAACCCCCTTAAGCCCCTTAAACCCCTAAACCCAGCTTAGCAATCCAGGGCGGGCCAGGCGGCTGCACACGCTCAAGCGCTTTCGACATCCACGGGCCGGCGATGTCCCGTTGGAACCCTAAGGCCTTCGCCCAAAGTCCCCCAAAATAATGTCTGCTTAGGGTTTAGGGTTTAGGGTTTAGGGTTTAGGGTTTAGGGTTTAGGGTTTAGGGTTTAGGGTTTAGGGTTTAGGGTTTAGCGTTTAGGGTTTAGGGTTTAGGGTTTAGGGTTTAGGGTTTAGGGTTTAGGGTTTAGGGTTTAGGGTTGTGCAACCCTAAGCCCTAATCAGTTCCATCAGTTCCGTAAGTCCCAAAACACTGTAGCTTGGGCTTGAGGGGTTTCCGGGGTTTCCGAGTGCTTGGTGGGGTAGGTTGAGTTAGCACCTTAAGTAGTACTTCGCACGGAGCATTGTTCGGGCTCCGGGCCTCTGACTTAGGAACGTTTGTCCAAGAGCTGCCAAGGAGCACTGATTTTGCTCAATAAGGACCTCATGTTGTTCACTGTAGGCCCATGTTGTGGCAACAGGTAACCTAGGCTTAGCCCCTGTAAATCCCTGTAACAACCCAGATCTATCCATGGCCTTCGAGCAACCAAGACTCTGCGAGCCAGCAGCAGGCGGGTTTAAGTCGCTGGAGAAGCGAAGGCGTGGGGCACCCGAAGCTCAACTAAAGGGGAATCCCCAAAACCCTGCTGAGATGCTACTTTGAGGCTTCCCTGAACCCGCGCAACCTCAGAAGCCTCCCCAGGTTCCCCAAAACTTGAACGTCTCGGCTCTGGGAGTTGAGGGTTGAGGGTTATTGAGGAGTTGAGGGTGGAGCGCCGTGATGTTCTAGGAGTTGGGACGTCAGGTTTAGGGATTGCAACCTCGGAGCCGGAGATGAAGCTAAGCGAGCTCGAGCCCCAAAAGGAAACGCAAAAACATCTCTTGGTAACAGTTGCCTACACATCACGGCCTGCCATGTGTCAAAGGCCCGGGAACGTGTCTTTGAAGAGTTGCGGATGTAGGGTTGAGGTTGATGCAAGGTGGAAGTTGGGATGTTTCCCCTTATACTGTCCTGAATAGGGATTATCGTACCCCCTATTGAAATTCCTACTGAAGACTTTTAGCATAAGGGGGAACATGCCAACGTGGAAGGCTGAAGGTTTAAGGTTGAGGATCGAGGATCGGGGCGCCGAAAGACAATGGGCATGGCTGTAGCAGGAGGACAAGTTGAGCAGATAAGGGTCAGCATGAACATCGCGCATGATTCCAAGGCGGTAGCCTCAAACTCTAAACCCTATCTGGAATCAGCAACTCCCCACATAAGCCCCACGAAGCTCATCTCCCAAACCCTCCACCCTCAACCCTCAACCCTCAACCTTCAACCCTAAACCCTAACCCTAAACCCTAAACCCTGCTGAGTAGGCGACACCGACTCTACGATGGGCGAGTTCTCGCCCCCATCGTCGAGATTGGTGCCTTGGTTTAGGGTTTAGGGTTTAGGTAGGGTTTTAGGGTTTTTAGGGTTTAGGGTTTAGGGTTTTTAGGGTTTAGGGTTTAGGGTTTTTAGGGTTTAGGGTTCAGGGTTCAGGGTTCAGGGTTCAGGGTTTAGGGTTTAGGGTTTAGGGTTTAGGGTTTAGGGTTGAGGGTTTAGGGTTTAGGGTTTAGGGTTTAGGGTTTAGGGACTTTGTGACTGGATCCCTGAGCCCTGGTGTAAACCTGTAAAGGGATTCCAGGCTCTGCACTCCTGCGTCCTAACTTCCTGTAATAAGCGTACAAATACAACTACATAAATAAATAAATATATATATATATATTTATTTATTTATTTATTTATTTATTTATATTTATACGTACATATAGGTATAATCTATGCATATGTACCTATAGGCCTATAACTTATGTACACACACACACACACCAACCAGTGAAAGAGCAAAAAAAAAAATCAGGAGGGCCCCCAAATCGGGCTTTACGTATCCCCAAAGGGCACCCCCTTCATCTTCCAACACCCCCAACAGGAACAATAGGAACTATGGATCCAGCAGAGAACCACCGAGTCTGACTTCAACGGCTCTTGAGCTGAGGCTTTCGGAACCTCGCCCTAAACCCCAAATCCTCAACCCTAAACCCTAAACCTGTAAGCCCTGTAAGCCCTGTAAGCCCTGTAAGCCCTGTAAGCCCTGTAAGCCCTGTAAGCCCTGTAAGCCCTGTAAGCCCTGTAAGCCCTGTAAGCCCGGTAAGCCCTGTAAGCCCTAAAACCATGGGCACGGGAGAACCACATTCATCGGGAGCCCGTGCGAGCCCGGGCAAGCAACTGCACGGTCTTCACTGTCAGGTTCTGCCAGGGTCCCAAGGCTGGTCAGGGGTGGTGTGCTCGGGGAGAGAAGCAAAGTTTAAGGGCTTAGGGGGGTTAGGGTTTAGGGCTTAGGGTTTAGGGTTTAGGGTTTAGGGTTTAGGGTTTAGGGTTTAGGGTTTAGGGTTTAGGGTTTAGGGTTTAGGGTTTAGGGTTTAGGGTTTAGGGTTTAGGGTTTAGGGTTTAGGGTTTAGGGTTCCCTTAAGGTCGCCTCTTGAACCTCTCTTGCGGTCTTCCTTCTGGTGCCAGGGCTTCCGGAAGTTTCGTAGGCTCAAGGCTTCTTGTTAGGGCAGACCCAGCAAGCCGGAGCTTCCCCAGCCCTGAACCTAAGGCTCCTGAAACCCGAAACCCGAAACCCGAAATCCTAAACCCTAAACCCTAAACCCTAAACCCGAAACCCTAAACCCTAAACCCTAAACCCTAAACCTAAGCTCCTAGACCCAACACCGATATTGAACAAGCGAGTGCCCAGGTTTCAAAAGAGTGCCTATAGACGCCTGGAGTGTGTTAGGGCTTATCGCAAATCCCAAAACCAAAATCATCAGTAGAGCAGACTGCAAAAAGTAAAATCCCAAAATAGAAGTTACTGGAAGTTGTTATCGAGCCAACATCCTATTTTGGGTTTCACTGCCCGGCCCTGTTTCTGCTGTAGGACAGTCCAGGCTTCTTTATACAGCCTTATACGCGTATAGCCCAGGAATGAGGGTCCATAGATCGCGTGTGCACGCCCTTTTACGGCCTGCGTGTATCGACTTCGAACTGGGGTTTCGGAAAACGGCTTGGGGCATGTGTAAGATAGGGGTCGGAATCATGACTAGTAGTGTTTCCTTAGGGTCCCTTTCTGCATATACGATGATGACCCCCCAAAAACGTCTTCTAATCATTGAGTAGGACCTGCAGGACGTCCTTGCACATCTGCAAGGCTTTTAGGGCTGTTTACAGTAGGGCTCTCTTGGGGTTCACGGAGACTTCACGTCCTGATATGGGGGTTTACGATACTTGCGGCACCGTATTATTGCAAGGGGATCCTACCATTAGGGGGTCCCTAAACCCTAAACCCTAAACCCTACACCCGAAACCCTAAACCCTAAACCCTAAACCCCATATCCGATGAAGTCTTGTGTCCCAGGAATGCCTCGTCAGCGTTATCCACAAGTGTCTCATCCCAGGGTGGGAGGATGGCATAGAGGGGAGCCTCGCAAATGGACAGTCTTAGGGTTTAGGGTTTAGGGTTTAGGGTTTAGGGTTTAGGGTTTAGGGTTTAGGGTTTAGGGTTTAGGGTTTAGGGTTTAGGGTTTAGGGTTTAGGGTCTAGGGTCTAGGGTTTAGGGTTTAGGGTTTAGGGTTTAGGGTTTGGGGTTTAGGGTTTAGGGTTTCGGGTTTCGGGTGTTTGCACAATCCAAGCCTTACCCTGACTCCCTCGAACCCCGAGTCGCAAGGCCAACTTCAAGTTCAGCCCTGGCTCGCAGTCGTGCAGCTGCAGATTTGGGGGTGTTGGGGGCATTAGGATTCTTAGAGTTGACCCTAAACCCTAAACCCAAAACCCTAAACCTTAAACCCTAAACCCTAAACCCTAAACCGCCTTGCTTCGGGCTGACGGAATTTAGGATCTTAGGTTGTTCCATTCCCCAGCAAGAAGGAGCGCGCTCTACAGGGGGATGAATCTTCTCTGTTGTTCGGGTTTAAGGTTCAGGGCTTCGGGCTTAGGGTTGAGGGTCTAGGGGACAAACCCTAAACCCTGTGAAGCCTGAAGTCTAGACCATGAACCCTCAACCAGGACGAGCGAGCCATGAAAGGTCCCAGCTTGGGGGACCGGCAACCTCCCGAATCTCCCAAAACGGCTTAGGGTTTTTGAGGTTTGGAGTTTAAGGGTTTGGGGTCAATTAGCCCCGAAGTCGCCTAAATCCGTCCCTAACCCCTAAACCCTAAACCCGAAACCCTAAACTTTCCTAAGCCCTAAACCCTGAACCCTAAACCTTAAACCCTAAACTGCCCTGTGCCTTCTTGCCGAAGTCGTCGATGGGATCCGCGGAGGCCTTGGCACGCAGCAAGACCTGCGGAGCTTTTGCTCTGACTTTTTTGGAGGGCGGGGGGGGGGGGGGGGGCTGAAGGGCTGTAAGACTTGGGCCTAGCCCTGCCTGGTTTGATGCAATGACAATCTCTGCACGACGTGTTTGGGGTGGGCTCGAGCTGTCCGGAACCCCAGCTGTGTTAAGGGTTTGGGGTTTAGGGTTCAGGGTTCAGGGTTTAGGGTTTAGGGTGTAGGGTTTAGGGTTTGGGGTTTGGGGTTTCGGGTTTGGGGTTTAGGGTTTAGGGTTTAGGGTTCTCCTCGAGCAAAGCTGGCACTGTTGGAGGGTCTGGTCTGGACATTTTGACTTTCATGTTTGAATCCTTGCATTCGCAAAATAGGAGCGAATTAGGAATTTTGGGAACTCAATGACGCTCGACTTACTAAGATTGTAAACATGCTTTTTGGTTTTTAATTCCAAAATCTCCAAGAATAGGAGCTAAATTCCTTGGAATTAAGGTTTCTGGCGAATGTTGCTAAGGTGGATGGCAGGTGGGCCCTTTGACAATGAATGCCCACACGGGAGAAAGCAACCTACGAGACACCCTAAACCCTAAACCCTAAACCCCAACCCCAAACCCTAAACCCCAAACCCTAAACCCCAAACCCTAAACCCTAAACCCTAAACCCTAAACCCTAAACCCTAAACCCTAAACCCTAAACCCCAAACATCCCCAAACATCCCCGCCTCGACCGCTTCCGTGTGCTTGGCATGGCAGGCGAGGCTCAGCGGCGTGGTTCCAAAGGAGCTCCTCGAGGCTTTAAGCTGAGAAGGCAGGGTTTGGGGTTTAGGGTTTAGGGTTTAGGGTTTAGGGTTTAGGGTTTGGGGTTTGGGGTTTGGGGTTTGGGGTTTAGGGTTTAGGGTTTAGCATTTAAGATCTTATCTGTTTTGGCGCCCACAGCCCTTGTAATTTGGGGCCTTTTCAGCTAGCAGTTCGTCAACATTCCCTCACGCCCCGAACGGAGGAGGCGTCATTTTGGGACATCGATCTTTCTTCCATTCCGGAACGCTATTTCTAGCATCAGAAATAGGAGCGCGCAGGCATCCTTTGGAACGCAAGCATGTCACCATTCGTTCCCATGAAGTTCAACTGCACCCTTCATAAGACTTTCCGGCAGAGTGGCCACGCAGTTAATGTTGACCTAGTAATAATAACCCCCCCTTCCCCCCGCCTTCAATCAAACCCCCCCAAATAGAGTGAGGCCCCTTTGAATAAGGATTCCTGTCCTTAGAGAGAATTAGAGAGGATCAGAGAGAATCACTCAGGATTCCTTTCCTTAGAGAGAATTAGAGAGGATCAGAGAGAATCAGAGAGGATCAGAAAGGATCAGAGAGAATCAGAGAGGATCATAGCCCCGACTGGCGTACTTTATTTCCAGGGCTTTATTATTGCGGCCGGGACACCTGGCGTACTTTAATGTTAGGGGCTTTAGTAATACTAGGTTAACATTAGCAGCTGCAGCAAGCCATATCCAGAACTGTTACTTGGAGCTTCATGGGTACTTAGAACCACAGTTCTACGTCTACTTATAACCTACTCAGAGGACTTAGGGGGCTTATAAGTACAGTTATAATTGGGGTTATAAGTGCTCATGAACCTCCAAGCACCGCGGCACGCGGGAACAAGGAACCATCGGTCCCCCCCTCCTCCCTCCATTTTTCATAGCCTTACAGAACCCCGAAACCCCCCTCCCCTGTTGTTCGTTTGGTGGGTCTGTGAAGCCTGAACCGAGACCAAGAGCGGAGACAGGAAAGTAGCCGCTCAGGTCAGGGGAATCCGAAAGCCCCAAAGCCTACAGGCCCTGTTCACTTCCTAAGGCCCACCGGCCCACCACAACCAAACTCTAAGGGGGGGCCTTCCCGTTCCGAACCCTCACCCTTCGAACCCCCCGCTAAACCCTGAACCTAAACCCTGAACCCTAAACCCTGAACCCTAAACCCTGAACCCTAAACCCCAAACCCTACCCTAAACCCCAAACCCTGAAACCCTAAACCCTAAACCCTGCTAGCGCCCCCGGTTCCGCCTCACGTTGAGGTTCGCCTTGTTGCGAACCATCTCGGCGATGATGCTACTGCAGTTCTCCCTCAGCCACTTGGGGAAGGAGGGCTGGGTGTTTAGGGTTTAGGGTTGTGGGTTGTGGGTTGTGGGTTGTGGGTTGTAGGGTTTGGGGCCCGGAATACCCTTCATGTTCCCCAAACTAGTGTAATCCTGATTATAGGAACCCCCAGAAGGGTACCCCAATTTTCGGAAACCCCCATGTAGGACTTGGGGTACCAAGGGCCTAAGAGCCCTCAGCGCTTCATTCCCAACATGCCATCCAGATCGAGAATGCCGAGAACCTTGATTAGGGCCAAACGCTCCTTGACTGCTACTCGATGGATCGGCCCTAAAAGGGAAACATGATCCCAAAGGAGCCAGAACACCAGGTCATTGAGTCATGCAATCATCACGCCACTAAGCCCAAACCCTCAACCACGAAGTTTGCCCAACTGGGAGGTCGAAGCTTGGCGGAAGGCCTACAGCAGCCCACCTTCCTGAACCTCCATCTCCAAACTCGAAGTTCCCAACCCCCTCCAAAGAGGATTTAGGACCCTCGAAGGTTCCAAAACTTCGGGGCGAAGCGCAGAGTCTTGAGGCTTTTGGGGGTTGCTTCTTTGGAAGGGCTGCTTGTGTGTGGGGATGCGTGTGGGGGAGGGGGGGGTTGAAGTTCCCTACAAGGGTACCTCATTGCATCACTGTATACTTGGGCCCAGAAGTCCCCTTAGGGTTTCGCTTAGGTCTAGGTGTTGTCTTCTGCTTCTACGACTACTTGCTTAAGAACCCCCCCCCCATAAAATGAAAGATATGTAATCACCCCCATATTACCCTTCTAAGGAAGAATATGGTAAAAAGGAACTTCTATACTCCCCTTAGAACCTTCATAAAAACAATCAATCTAATATCCTTTTGGGTTTTATATGAACAACGATAAAAAAATAATTCCCAAGGGGGATATAGTCTTGAGCAAATAGTACTTCTGGAGGGCTTGCGTCAAGCAGCATGTGCGGCTTCCTGGCCAGCACGTGCAGCCTCGGACCATGGCGAAAGGCCCCCCTTAAGCCCCAAGCCCTAAACCCTAAATCCTAAACCCTAAACCCTAAACCCTAAATCCTAAACCCTAAATCCTAAACCCTAAACCCTAAACCCTGCGTAGGGTCTAAGATGGTGTAAGGAGTGAGTCTGGTATCCCTCAGGGTTCGGGGCTCTGGGAAGCCCCGCCCCAAGCCCAGCCCTGTGAGCCCGACCTAAGGGTTTTTTAGGGTTTTAGGGTTTTAGGGTTTTAGGGTTTAGGGTTTAGGGTTTAGGGTTTAGGGTTTAGGGTTTAGGGTTTAGGCAGCCCAAACCACAACGAGGCCAAGCGAATGATCACGGCTTTGGAAGTCCAGCAGTCTGGAGTCGGAGGAGTTCGGATCCCAGGGTTTTGGCAAGCCCTGCAACAGCCGGGCTCAAGAACCCAGATGGGGGCTTCTGACAATAGGGGTACTGCTGTATTGGGGGTCCTTATTTTGACGGAATCCTACTTTCTATATCAAGGGTCCCTTATTTTGAACCTCTATGAGACCCCTGAGCCCTGAGACAGAAATCCGCCGTGCGCGGAATTTCCAACGGACCTGTATAGACCCTAAGCACGCAAGGCCAAAACCTATACCGCATACCTTCCAACCCACCTCCCCCAAGGCTTTGCTTACCCATGGCCAGGGTTTAGGGTTAAGGGTTTAGGGCTTAGGGCTTAGGGTTTAGGGCTTAGAATCAGCAATCACTCGGCATCCATAAAGCCCTAAGACCTAAACCCTGAACCCTAAAACACCAAACGGTCAAAAGATGGAGCCCTGAACCCCAGCTGGAGGCATTGGCAATGTCATAAACTCATCCGCGCCCTCGGGCCGCATCGGGGCATTCACCTCACGAATCTGGCGGCTGAGGGTCTTGGCAATTTAGGGTTTATAGGGTTTAGGGTTTAGGGTTTCGGGTTCAGGGTTAAGGGTTCAGGGTTTTAGGGTTTAGGGTTTAAGGGTTTAGGGTTGGGGGCCTTGGGGTGTTAGGGTGTGAGGGTGTGTACGGGGGTTAGGGTGTGAGGGTGTGAGGGTGTATGGAGGTTAGGGTCTGAGGGTGTGAGGGTGTGAGGGTGTGAGGGTGTGAGGGTGTGAGGGTGTGAGGGTGTGAGGGTGTGAGGGTGTGAGGGTGTGAGGGTGTGAGGGTGTGAGGGTGTGAGGGTGTGAGGGTGTGAGGGTGTGAGGGTGTGAGGGTGTGAGGGTGTTATTGTGTGAGGGTGTGAGGGTGATAGGGTGTGAGGGTGTGTATGGGGGTTATGGTAAGGTTTATGGGGGCTAGGGGTTTATAGGGTTGTTGGGGTTTAGGGTCTATACGGCTATACGGTTTATGGGGTTTAGGGTTTATAGCGTTTATGGGGGCTAGAGTTAATAGGGTTTATGGGGTTTAGGGTCTGGAGGATTTGGGGCTTATAGGGTTTAATGGGCTTACAGGGTTAGGGTTTCTAGGGTTTATAGGGTTTGGGGTCGGGAGTTTAGGGTTGCTAGGGACCCTGAACCCCTAAACCCTCAACCTCCAGTCTCCAAACCCTAAACCCTAAACCCCAAACCCCAAACCCCAAACCTAAACCCTAAAATCTAAACCCCAAACCCTCAACCCTAAACCCTAAATCCTAAACCCTGAACCCTAAACCCTAAACCCTAAATCCTAAACCCTGAACCCTAAACCCTAAACCCTAAACCCCTGCTTGCAACACTGCTGGGATCTCCACGGAGGCGCGGGCGGCGATGAGCCGCTTCACCAGGCCGAGATCACCACGGAGGCAAGCTTCCTTCAGGGTTTCTTTAGGGGTTTGGGGTTTGGGGTTTAGGGTTTAGGGTTTAGAGTTCAGGTTTTCAGGGGTTTAATCAGGGTTTCAGGGGTTTGGGGTTTAGGGTTTAGGGGTTTAGGGTTTAGGGTTTAGGGCTTAGGGTTTAGGGTTTAGGGTTTAGGGGTTAGGGGTTAGGGGTTAGGCATTTAGGGGTTTAGGGGCTTAGCGGTTTACGGGTTTAGGGGCTGGGTTTAGGGTTTAGGAGGTAGGGGTTTAAGGATTTAAACCACCCCTCCCCCGTGTGGTTGATAGTTTAAGGTGTGTAGGCTTGAAGCGTGAAGCCCCAAAACCCTGAACTGGGTGGGCGTTGAGGGTTGTGACTGCACTTCAAGGATCTTGCTTCCAGGACAGCTTCCACCCTTAAACCCCAAACCTTCCAGGCATGAATTCCTATGCTAAGCGTGAATTCCCAAACCCCTAGACCCTAAACCCTAATCCAACAGACCCTAAACCCTAAACCCTAAACCTCAACCTCCAAACAAACTCGACGCTTCAAACCCTCGCGGCCTGGAGGTCATCGTTGGTCACTCGCAGAAGCTGGTTGTCCTCGCGGTGGAAGTGGGCAACTCGCCCCCCGGGTCGACACAAGGGTTTAGGGTTTAGGGCTTAGGGCTTCGGGTTAGGGGTATAGGGTTTAGGGTTCAGGGTTTAGGGTTTAGGGTTTAGGGTTTAGGGTTTAGGGTGTAGGGTGTAGGGTTTAGGGTTTAGGGTTTAGGGTTTAGGGTTTAGGGTTTAGGGTTTAGGGTTTAGGGTTTAGGGTTTAGGGTTTAGGGTTTAGGGTTTAGGGTTTAGGGTTTAGGGTTTAGGGTTTAGGGCTAGGGTTTGGGGTTTAGGGTTTAGGGTTTAGGGAGGCTGGCGGCTTCGAGTTCCAGGACTTGGCGATTGCAAGAGGATGACCTTGACATGATATCTGGGGACGGTAGCATGGAGCATGTGAGAGAGGTACCCTAAACCCTAAACCCTAAACCCTAAACCCTAAAGCCGGCACGCACACACAGACATCCGAAGTGCCCTGAATCACTGAAGCGTCAAGACCATAGGGATCAACGCAACAAGCAGTCCTCTTGCTGGGCTTGGTTTATGAATACCGACAAACATCTGTAGCTCCTACCCCTCAACATGTCCTGTACGCTGGCAGGCGCACGCCAGGAGTCGCGCCGGGCGGGCGCGGAAAGGAACTGGCGCAACGGCTGTTGGGTTTCGGGTTCAGGGTCAAGGGTTTAGGGTCCAGGGTCATTTACTCTATACTAGTATAGTCCAAATTGCAGTGTATGAACCATAAACCCATGTGGTCCAGGGTTGTATATAGGGTATATAGGGTTTACAAGGCTTCTAGGAATGGCTTAGATGGTCCATAGGGTTTGGGTGCAGGGTGTAGAGTTTACAGCATTTCGATTTAGGGCTTAAGGAGGTGTTTGGTGAAGCATTTACAGGGTTTAGGACCTTCAGGACTAGGTGCGCTGGTTTGGGGTTTATGGCTTAGGGTTTAGGGTTTAGGGTTTAGCCCTTGAGGTGTCTTCTTGGTCTTGGCGCTTGTGGGCTTGTGGGCTCGAGGGTTCGAGCGCTGGAAAGCCTGCCCCAATTCGCAGTGCCTCCTGCCAGCCCCAGGAAACAGTTTCCCGAAGATGATCACAAGAACAACCCTGAACCCGAAACCCTCAACCCTGAACCCTAAACCCTAAATCCACGCCGCAGCTGAGTCCGCAGTCGGACCGCCTCATCTATCCACGTGGTGTCTTCCTAGCAAGGGCCAAGAAGGCAAAGACTCGAGGTTGAGAAGATACGTGGAAGGGGTTTAGGGTTTAGGGTTTAGGGCTTCGGGTCTAGGGTCTAGGGCTTAGGGTTTATAGGGTTTAAGGTTTAGGGTTTAGGGTTTAGGTCCCTCAGATGTCTTCCTCCCTCAGAGCTGAGCCCTAGTGGTAATCTCAACCTCACCACGCCCAGCCAGAAAACTCTAAGACTCGGCATCTGATAAGTTCGCCTTTTGAAGCCCATGAAAAGAATCCGAAACAGAAAAGCCCTCTTTGGGGAGATGGACTAAGCGCCTACCTTGGCTATTCAAACACAATCATCTACGACGATCGTCCCCCCACCCTACAGCCATCTGATGTGGCAGCTCAGGAGTTTGGCTCTGAGGGTAGTTTCATGCCTTAGTATGGTCCCTAACCTCCTTTAAGGGGTTCGGATGTATGGGCCAAGAGGGGTTCTGATGTATGGGCCCTTAATTTGTGGCATATAAGTATGGGACCATGGTGGAGCTTTTTGGAACTTCGGGCTTGAGGCTACGCAAGGTGCAGGCGGTATCTTCTGGCAAAGCCTCTGCTTCCCTTGAAGCGCGCTTCTCTACAAGCCCGACATCTAGGCGTAATACCCTAAGCCCGAAACCCTTTCGCCTTAAACGTCTTTCAGACATCACGCAAGCTTGCCCTGCAGTCATCCTCGTCGCCGCCGAACGAGCTCAGCTCTTCATACTCAGAGTTCATCTCAAACCTCAGAATATTAGGGGCTTCGAGGGTTTCTGGAGGGTGTGGCTGGGGGCGGCGGGTATGGGGAGTTGGTGTCTCGGTCTTAGATATGGGCCTGGACCTTCCAATCGCTCTTTGTGCATTTCCCAGAACGGCCTCACCTCCCCAAAACCAGGAATTCGGTTGGGGCTCACTGGGGGCCAAAAACCGGGCTTGGGGCATATGGGCTTCCGCTGCCCTTGAAGGGCTCATGCGCTTTAGCGGGCCTTCATGGGATTTCACAAGGGTTTGCATAGGGGCTCATTGGGCTAAGAATGCAGAGCCCAGCGGCTCTTCTGACCAGCGCCGGTACACGCGCCGGGAGCTGCTTAGGTTGACGCCGGGTGGCGGCCTCGTAGGCGGTAGAAATTTAGGGTCTTCAACGGGTCTGCAACCGGATGTCAAAAAGTACCCAATACACGAGCATGAACGAGTCATGGAGATTTCTGAGGAGGGGGGGAGCTTTCATGTGAGATGGGATTGAGGCCCTCACGGTTGCAATTCTAGACTTTCGAGGGCAGAGGGTTTACGATACGACCACAGGGAACTTCCACCTCTAGCCTCCTCCACACTGAATCTGAAGGACCTAAACCCTAAAGCCTAAACCCTAAACTCTAAACCCTAAAGCCTAAACCCTAAACTCTAAACCCTAAACCCTAAACCCTAAACCCTAAACCCTAAACCCTAAACCCAGGCTTCGAATGGATGCACGTTCTGAGAAAGGATCCCTAGAAACCTCTCTCGGGCCCCCATGGCGAGACCTTCAGAAAGTACCCTAAACCCTAAACCCTAAACCCTAAACCCTAAACCCTAAACCCTAAACCCTAAACCCTAAACCCTAAACCCTAAACCCTAAACCCTAAACCCTAAACCCTAAACCCTAACCAGGCCCCAGGCCCTAAACCCGAAGCTTCCTGAGCCCTTAAACGCTCCGAATCTTTACAGGCGAAGTTGTGTGCAGAAACCCTAAACCCTCAACCAGGGCGTATAAAGCTTGATCGAGTTGGGCACCGCCAGACAGAAGAGCACAAGTGCTTAAGGAGACCGCTTGTCTCCTTAGGGTTTAGGGTTCAGGGTTCAGGGTTCGGGGTTCGAGGTTTAGGGTTTAGGGTTTAGGGTTTAGGGTTTAGGGTTTAGGGTTTAGGGTTTTGGGTTTTGGGTTTTGGGTTTTGGGTTGAAGCAGGGTTCTGGGCTTACGGCTAAAAGCAAACATAACAGCTCCAAGTGGCCGAATTGGCAACATCAACAAACCGCAAGGTTAGGGCGGGCTTCAGGCTTTGTAGGGCATAAGATTTATAACCCTAAACCCTAAACCCTAAACCCTAAACCCTAAACCCTAAACCCTAAACAATGTACTCACCTCCCATCCCGACCTCGGACTGAACATCTTCCGGAGCTGCTTCGTGGTCAGCCTCACCTGTGCCGGATAAGCAAGTCCAGTTTGGGGTGCTCCCCCTTAGGGTTGAGGGCTTAGGGTTTAGGGTTCAGCGTTTGGGGTTTCAGGGTTCAGGGTTCAGGGTTTCGGGTTCAGGGTTTGGGGTTCAGGGTTCAGGGTTCAGGGTTCAGGGGTTAGGGTTTACGGTTTAGGGTTTAGGGTTTAGGGTTTAGGGCTTAGGGCTTAGGGATTCGGGTTTAGGGTTTAGAGTTTAGGGTTTAGGGTTTAGCTAGACCCGGGAGTCACCTAGGAATAAAAAGGGTGCCCTTTTGGGCTACTCCCGGTCCTAGTAACAGTCCTTTATGGGGATTCTAAACTAGGGGGTACTGTAAAGGACTGTGAGTATAAGGGCATCAAATGGGAACAACAGAAGAGTGGCCTCACGCGCGCTAGCAACTGCAAAGCAACTGGTGCGGCTTGCTCCAAAAACGCCAAGCCCCTCTCTCTAGGCCCCTTAGGGTTTAGGGTTTAGGGTTTAGGGTTTAGGGTTTAGGGGTTAGGGTTTAGGGTTTAGGGTTTAGGGTTTAGGGTTTAGGGTTTAGGGTTTAGGGTTTAGGATGGAGGGCTTAGGGCTGAGGGCTTAGGGTTTAGGGTTTAGGGTTTAAGGTTTAGGGTTTGGGGTTTAGGGTTTGGGGTTTAGGGTTTAGGGTTTAGGGTTTAAGGTTTAGGGTTTAGGGTTTAGGGTTTAGGGTTTAGGGTTTAGGGTTTAGGGTTTGGGGGGGTGGGGATACCATATGTATATATATATATAGAGAGAGAGAGATAGATAGCGATAGATCTTGATCAGTGGGTAGCGTACCATCTTGTGTGCACATTTCTGATGCAGTTTCACAAACTGCTGGGGCACGAGCTCGAGATGTTAGATTTTTTATGGTTTAGGGTTCAGGGTTCAGGGTTTAGGGTTTAGGGTTTAGGGTTTAGGGTTTAGGGTTTAGGGTTTTTATAAGAATTTTTTGCAGCCACAGTCTATAATTCCGGGAAACAATTATTTTGCAATTTTTTAGCGAACATGGTCGCAAAAAAGGATACAAAAAAGTTGCAAATATTTCGCAGTTTGTTTTTGTCAATTGTAGAATCTACGCAAAAGGAAACGCAAACATATTGCAGACGTCGCAAAAAATGCCAAAGTTTAATAGCAACACCTGAAGGCCTGCGCTGGCACATTTGTCTGGGTGGAGGGAGGTGAGGGGCTGCCGAAGTTGGACTCCTGAGATTGGAGGGGGTGAGAGGGGGCGCAATGTGTTTACTGGCCTGTCCATCAAAAACGGTGGGGGTGGCTGCGGCGGGGGCTGGGCTGGGGGGACTGGGGGGCTGAGGGATTTGGCTGGGGGGGGCGGGGGCGCGACCCTTTTGCAACAATTTTGCGGCCATTTTGCGAAGATTTTGCGAAAATGTTGGGCAAAACGCGAGGTTTTCGCAAGATGTTCGCAAAATTGAAGCCTACCGTTTTCGCGATTTTTTCGCGAGATTTTCCAAGGCTCAGACCTGGTCGCAAAATTCTTGCAAAATTCCCACGCATTCCTGACCCCGACCAGGCCAGGTCGCAAAATTCTCGCAAATTCCTCCCCGGCCCCACCCATGCCCCGGCCCAGAACTCCAAAGCGTTTCACTCATTTCTGAAAACGTGTGTCATTCACGACAGACAGCCAACGACACAAAGAAACCCACGAACGATGCACACATCATCACTTTCTGTGCACAGATAGCAAGATTCACAAAAGGTATTTTGCGAAAATTTTGCAACCCTTGTTTGCGAAAATTTTGCAACCCACCTGCAAAATAATTCATTTTCCAACCTATAGCCTCTGGCTCAGAGATTCTTATCTGTTAAACAATCCCAAACTTTAACAAGATCTTAAGACATGTTCCCTTGCGTGAACCTGCGGACAGACGGCGCCCACGCTCTTTGTTCAGCCTGTGCCACGGAACAAAGCTGCGACATGCCACGTTCCCAGAAATGGATGCAATCTCCTTGGGCCCAGTCCCGAACTGTGGCGAAAGCATGTGGCTGTCAATAGGTCATGACTAGACTGGGCAATGTGTTCACAGAACGTGTGAAGCAGCTGTCGGTGAGCTTCTGTTTTGGGCCATGCACGGAACTGAACACTCCGAACTTTACTCAATTACTTAGCTTGAATGTCAACTCTGTGGCTATCCGTCCAAGGCATTGTGCACTTGGGAAAAGCGATACTTTAATGACTAATTACATATTCTTGAGTTGTGCCATAAGCTCACTCTCAAGCGTCTTGGGTGTGTTGATGAGCCGTTTGAGTCCCTCTGCGTGCAATGTGGTCAATCAAAAAGGCACCACCCAGCAGGAACGTTTTACGGATCCTCACTTCCGCTGTTCGCAAAGGTCCAGCCGCAGTTGCACGGCCGGTGCGCATGGCCTCAGAAAAAATTGCACACCCACTGGCTAAGTGCTATTGCACAGCACGAACACTGGGAATGCATGTCCTGCCGAATACTTTTTAAACTACGAATTCCTTGCCGCCAAGGAGCTGCTGTGTGACCACGACTACGACCTGAGAAGACGCTTCACTGGAGCAACAGCTTGAAATAGCGCATTAGTTTAGGCCTGGGATCTAGCAACGGGTGAATTATGATGAATTAAGGAGGCAGCCTGGTGGTGAAGTACCTCCAGCTGCAGGAGCACTTGTGCTTCCCACGTGCCCCACATTTGGCATCGTGGCCCTCGATGCCTCGGTGCGAGCATGGGACGGTGTGCAGATGAGTGAATCTTAGGCAAGCGGCCGAAGGCAGCCAGGATGACCCTCACCAACTCCAGCGGCACCTTCGTT